ATTATTGAAGAATTTCATTTATAAACATCCAACTCAAAGTAAAATATGACCTTTAAGTTTCTTGTTCAAAACTTTCTTGCAGTAACTTTCATTTTTGTACTATACTGTAAAAAACTGGTGTTAAAAACACAGAAAACAAATGTGTTAGATGATGCACAATCTTTGTGATGAATTTTATACGCTATAGACACACACAAAAATGTTAGTAATTTAATATATCGCATAACAAAAGTTAAAAGTCAAATGATGCATAAAAATATTTTAAAAATTACTTTAGATCAAGAGTGATTCGTTTCGACCACGTGTTATCCCTGAACGGTTCAAACCGAATCTCGTCATAAAAACGTGATTCATGACATAATAATCTAATTAAATGAAGATACTTTTGAACTAAAAATCTCACCTCATTTGTGTTGATAGAAAACACAAAAACTTGTGTGTTAATATTGCTACAAAAACCTGTTGTGTTATAGTTCACACAAGCCTGTGCTTGGGGAACACAAATTGTGGTGTTGTGAAAAATACAAGTTGTGTGATAATGTACAACTTTTTACAGTGTAGGATCACTTCGAGTTGACTTGTACTTACGCCCAAGTGTCTACTGGATACAGAAAGTTTTCTTACAGAAGTAATATTTTACAAATGTATGATAAAACGAATGACGATAATGGTATTGGTATTTTCAGTCTGAAACTAGTTAATCACCTAGGTCAGCGACCCCTTTCGTTCAAATATAGACATCTCTAATACTGAACTACTGACAAGAGGAAAGGCGGTTAGTCAGAAGTCCGCCGCCACAAAGACCTAATCCAAGATGGAGTCAAATAAAGGAACTGACTATCATTTTTATTACGGAATCATAGCAGAAAGTACGAAACGTGTTCAGTAGCATCGTGGTACGAATCTTGGACCCGGAATGCTAGCCACTAAGTCATATCCAGACATAACAAATATTTAAATATAACCATTTTCCAAATACTCCAGTTTGTTTTGTCGTTAGTATCCTTGTTCCTGAACTACATAAAGACCGCCTTTAGCAACAGGGTAGTCTACTTTTAGAGATGCTAAAAGAGTGTGGTCTGGAAACAACAAGTAAAACACACACTAATCTAGAAGAGTATCTGATCAGAATAGAAGAGCAGGAAAAGTGATTTGGGGTTATCTTTTCTCTGTTAAATTTATTAACTATATTAATACTTATGAAAGAAAACTGTCATTTATCATATACAAATTAGAGAACATTAACAATTAAAAACATGGATAGGAGTAGCTGTCAGTCAGAAAAAAAACATATTATGTACTGAAGGCTGTTAATGATTTGAGAGATATTTATGGTAGATGAATGTTTTCTATACAATTTGTCCCCTTTTGGCTTAGCAGTAAGTTTAAGGGATCATAACTCTAAAGTGCGGGATTCGATCTCTGCGATGTGGGCACAATAGAGACAGGCTATTATACGTATACATATGCTTAACAACCACTAAACAGTTTATAGTTTTGTTAAACTTCTTTTAAGACTGTCTGAATATATGTTCCTCATTTTCATCCAACTATATCATCGGTTCATCGTCAATAGTATATTATTTATGAATTTTCAACTGCACAGAAATAAAATCGCTCTCCAAACACGGACGGATTTTTGCTGAAAGGTGGGCTGATCTTTCTTTTGTAATACAGCATGAAGCACGTGTGTTCACGCACTAAGTGCTACGTTCTTTTGCTCACACACAAAAAAAATCCCAAAATATTTTTTGCTAAGGTTAACCAGTTTTAAGGAAATGAAACTGTCGATTTAACAAATCGTTTTCCGTTTCTGTAGCGTACGTTTCTAAATTCTAAAAAAAAACTTTCAAATATTCACGAAAAGATTTCCTCTTTCCTATATTCTCTAACTTTCTTTAATGTATTGTATGTTCACTTGAGTTATCTTTAACGTTTAGGTAAACATTTTATCTCTGTTTTCTTAACACATAGAATCATATATGTGACTGTGATCAGTTATAGAATTACCTACTTTGAATCGTTTGGTGAGAGATATTTCGCCTTCTGTACGGGAATGATGACCCCAGAAAGTCTTCGCTGAAAGAATATTTATAATAACATTTTACAAAAGGTTCATTCCGTTTTCTATTGAGAATATATATGACTGAAACCTCTTTCAAACCAAAGTCAAGATTTAATGCTTCTTAACCTAAAATATTAGCATAGACAATTCTTAGAATAAATAACCAACTGACTAAAGAAGTTGTGTAAATTAAGCTCAAGAATAAACCTCAGTTCCATTAAATTGTAAAATTGATATAATAGTGGAAAGAAATACACTTAAACCTCACAACGTTTTACATTTTCACACGTTACAGAATACACTAGAACACTTTTTTAAAACTTTATTGGAGTATTCTTCGAAAAAGTATGAAGAATACGTATAATAATTTATTTCCAAAAATTAGACAACAATTTCGTGTTCACTTCATTTGTGTACAGCTGTTGCCTTCGCTGCTATAAAATTGTCTGTCGTATCTAAAGAAATATTTAATATTGAAATTCGAAGGTAATCTGTAATTATAATCTTGAAGTAGGCCTAAATCTATTGTTTTTTATGTTTGTTCTCTGTGATTCTGGTTGAGCTTCAGGGCTAATAAGTCTTAAATTTGTGTTTTTTTTCGTGGAAAGTTGGTTGTGTAACATGGTGGAGCTCAAACAAGCGAGTCTTTGTTTTGTGCTGCGGATTCTGTACGCTTTCTTTACTTTACTTTACTATGAAACAGATTTAATTTTCTTGGGATCACCTTTAGTTTTGACCTTATACATTTAACCTCATAAAATTATAGCTGATCGTTCATTTTTTTTTAATTCATGGATTTCGTTAAATTCATTATTAGAAGACTTTGGAAGGCCTGATAGCAGTTGCAAACAAACTAAATAAGTAAATCCCCTTTAAATGAATACTATATTTTCTATAATCGATTGTATATTGTTGCGATGACAACTACAATATATACGAAACATTATTGCAAACCAATGAAAAATAGTATGGGTGAAAAGTGCCAAATCAATTTTAATACAATAATATCTCAATATAATGATTCAATGTAAAGTATTTGTAATCTTACTTTTTAGTTTACAGATTTCGGATCGAAGGAAATGTGTACTTTCAAAAGTAAGGAATTGCATACCATTGTGTGTTATCTAACATTTTCAGGCTTTCTAACCATCTTATAGAGCAGTTAAGGTACTTTTATGTTCCCGCCTGTGTTCTATTGAATTCTGTAGCATTTATGTTTGAGTTGGTTTACTTTCTCTTTCCTCAGCTTATTAATTATGCTTAGCGTAAGTCTAAATGCCATTAATTGTAGTTTTGTCTAATTTATTTCATTATTTTCATTGGAAATTAGTTTAATTGTCATACTAATATGTTATTGTTTAGTTGTACAATTATATGTACCGTTGTTATTATACCATGTACATTTTTCACACAAAAAGTTTATTTCATAGATATACACTCTGTAGTGATTTAGGTAAACAAAACTGTTTTGTTTAAATTGTGGGTTATCTGTGAGACTATATATATATATAGACTTTCAATATAACAACTTGATTCTTGAAAAAAATTGATTTCCATCAATAACCAGAAACTCAAGTGTATATATTCAGGTTAAATAGATAACTACGAAACCTCATATGGTGTTTCTTGATGATGAATGTTATGTGAATATAATATTACAAATTAAATTCTAACTTTGACTTAATATGTGTCTGCGAATTCGTGAATGTAAGCCATTTTATCAACCTATTCTGGAATTATACCTGCCATCAATTGCCCCCCCCCCCCTTGGAAAACGTAACTGAAAAGGGTGGATTCTGTAATAAAGCCGTTCACTACTCTGGTTGTTAAAGGCACAGATCAATCTTCTTTTCTTTTCATTTTGAGGGAAAATAACTGTCTTTCTATAAACTAGTGTTTTATTATTATGTTTTTATAGTCAGACTGAGTTATGTAACTATAGAGAATGTTACATGAATTATTAAAATTACAAAGATTCGTTAGAGCAAAAAAGAACAAACAAACGAAACCATATTTAACTATTAGGTTTAAAAAGCCCCATAAAGTTTTCACTGAGAAATTTAGAACACTACAAAAATAAAATAATATTACATAGTAAATCCTAATAAAAATATAAACTTTTACAATAAGACTATTGTATGTACTGAATTAAATACAGGTACACAATAGACAAAGTATATTTACTTTATAAAATAATACACTTATCTATGGCACCATTCAATTTGTATAATGTAATAGAATCAGTATAACACATAATCTTATGTCATTAAATATTAAATACTTTTCTAATTCAGTAAAGTATAGACGTATCTATATCAATCCTTAAGAAGACTTAAGTTGTAATACTGATTAAATAGCTAACTCAGTTAAAAAAAAAGTATTTACCTTCTTCAAATCGCTACGTGCCAAATGTGCGGAGACAACGAGCAATCTTACGTTGGATAATTTTTTTTCATTTAGAATCAAATCATACAGGAGTGCTGCAGGACCTGGCTTACACTTACTAGTAAAATTATACTGGACACAACTTTATTTTATGAAAACAGTTTAAACAAAAGAGGAAAATTAAGTATGTTGCTAAGAATAATGAAATAAAATTTTGATTTTCTCGCTAAACAGTTAGAATTATTAATAACAGAGAAGTTACTTGTGGTCTCTTTCCGAGTAACTCTTGTACTGTCAGGTATTCGGATTTATTTGCTAGAATCTAGCGACGATCTCCCAGAATTCTTTGCGTCATACACTACACCCTTCTTGCTATGTGAAAGGAGAGAGTAAATCAATATTGAAGCTGGACCACGTGATTTGACAAAATTGCCTTTTTTAGTGAAGTTTTCAGGGATAATAGAAAATATTACACTTCATCTGACCTAGAAGAAACTCACAGCTTAGTGAATGACACCTCAGGAATTATGGGATTAGCTCATCGTCCAAGAACTAACATTAGAACAGGTTTGAACAAAATATTTGCTCAAGTGCACAGACACACACACACACACATATAGATATATACAATAAAAATTTGTTAGCAAATTTTAACTTTGAGTTGGATGTTTATAAATGAAATTCTTCAATAATGATTGAACAGAATAGTAAATATCTTTAGATAAAACATCTTCATATTGTACTTTGAGTTAGATGTTTATAAATGAAATTCTTCAATAATGATTGAACAGAATAGTAAATATCTTTAGATAAAACATCTTCATATTGTACTTTGAGTTGGATGTTTATAAATGAAATTCTTCAATAATGATTGAACAGAATAGTAAATATCTTTAGATAAAACATCTTCATATTTTACTTTGAGTTGGGTATTTATAAATGAAATTCTTCAATAATGATTGAACAGAATAGTAAATATCTTTAGATGAAACATCTTCAGAGTTATGCTTCCGCATATACTTAGGTTGGATGCATTATAGAGAAACGACTTTGGAGTCTCACGAAATTGTTACAGTCCATGTCACCACGTATGGTCAAGCTTTATCTGACGACCGTGCATCTTGACAATAGCCCCGCAGCGTCGTAGTTTCCATTGTAAAAATGTTATGTTTAGAGCACACCTCCCTGCAGCTTCCCTTAGTCTATCTAATGTACAGTACCTTTCGCAGAAATCCATCCATAGGCGCTGCGTCATGCGGCTTGACTGATAAGTGTTCATATGAAAGGGCATGAATGCCCGTTTCATTTTCCAGCTGCTTGAGGTGTGATAC